TGACAGCAGATTACTTTTCAGCTTCTACACAGACAAATTCTACCCAGGTTTATTTGGCGATAAAGCTGTTTCCTCGTTAGCAGAACTCAACCGTAGCAATGCTTGTGATCCTCTACTTACGTAACAACCAGGTTCCAAATCTGGCAGCAAATGTTCAAAACCCGCCACCAAATACACCACCCATGATAGTAATGGCGAACACGATACCAAATCTTGCAATATCATTTGGAACGGCACCAATTAATTATCAATGAATAGCGTTTGTTAACAATACTGGTATACGAAATGACAGATTGACTGGATACGTCCGAAGTAATGATATTCCTTGCACACGAGCTGGTATGCAGAACTATCAATTAACTATCTCCGCGAACTTGCTTTTTCCTGAAGGTGTTCCCGTTGGCGTACCAAATAATTTCATCATAGACCTGTGGGAGGTTCAGCAAAATGCTTTGTATTATCCGGTGTGTATTGCTTTCATGCCTTTCTGGTATATTATTATCAGTATTTACTAACTTTTTTTTGCATTTTTAGCTATAATATCAAATCTTCTAGATGTTCACCATATTCACCTAAATCTGCTTTTGCTTGTATGTTTTCCAAATCGCATATTTAATCAATTTTTCTAGATAACTATTAAAAGTTTATAAAATCATTAAAACAAGTGCACTTTTAAGTCTATAATAAAAATCATGTGATACCGTGAAAAAAATTCACGCACTTTTGCTAAGAAATTTTTTTATTAATACATGCAAATAAATACAAAGTTCAAGACGTAGCCCGCGATACACATTAATTTTTGATATTTTTTTTGATCTTAACCTTTTACTAGTTGGGAAACTATTTACACTAACCCTATCCTTTAACAGCTTAACAATTATACCTATTACCCTTTTCACATTATTTTGAAGTAATTCAGGATTTTCTTTGACGGCTAACTTTGTGAGATTAATCTGATATTCCACTGCCACTTGTATAGTAAATACCATCTGGTCAGGTCCTGAAGGGACCCCATATTTCTGATCGAAGTTCAAGTAGATAATATGACAATTCTATTAGACTTATTATTTGTAGAAGATAAATAATATTGGATTGTAAGAGTACGTGGAATAATGACGTTGGATTACTTACATTGGGTAGACTATATACAAATCGCTTAAGTATTTTCTCTCTCCAATACTTGACTGCCTTTGTGTTTCAATGGGTTTTAATTTCACAAAAAAGGTCATTCCAGTCGTGCCAATCATCATCATAAATAGTCCAGTCCTCCTCTCTTTGTCCGTATTCTTTGATAAATTCATTAAAGGCTTCCTCCTTCTCAGCATCTATATTCTCATCAAACATTTTGCTAATAGATCAATTATACTTAATAAAAAATAAAGTACTGGTTAGCATGCATAGCTTCTTTTCAGTATATGTGAAAATTATTATGTCACACAAGACCTGTCTGGTAATTACTACTCTAGACTAGTCAATCTCTTCTGGGAAATCTTTTTTATGTAATCTACGGTATAATGAGCCTCGTGAAGTTTCAAATGTCAAATGAGAAGATAATGGTTCTTGACCCTATATTTAATACTTCGTGGAATAAATTCGGTGATAGTAAAGTTAGTTTCTAATTCAGGATCCTCCAATTTATAATCAATCTTCTTTTTAAGGCCATACATGGTTATCATTAATCCAAATCTTTCGCACATGTATCTCATATCCCGTTCTAATTCTATGACAGATCTTTGATAACTTTATCATTAATCTTACCTTCGCAGTATTACATAATCGATCCAAGATTTGCGTAAGTTTTCCATAAGTCTTGTCCTAAGTTGACAAATGATTCTTGAAGATCGTTAAGCTCTTATTTGGGTTCTATATCAAGTACCATCCTAGTCGAATATCTTTCTTGTAGTTTAGGTGTATTTAATAAAAAAAAATAAATCTTCCGGACAGATAATCACTGCTCTGAACTAGCTAGATCGTTGAATAATGCTATCGAATAATTCCTTGGTGCTTGTCTGCCTATAGCTATAATGGGGTAATCGGCACCAGAGTCAACTGTCATGAATATATTGGAATTAGGTTGTCGTAATAGCTGGTGAAGCCAACTTCTAATATTAACAACTCTAGGCTGTCTTGATATTAGATCTACCACTTGCTCTATCTCAGCTCAAATATCATTCGGATCCCAGTAATTCTCTACGTGAATATTTGAATTTAGCTTATCTACAGCTTCTTTACTAATATTATTACACCCTTTCAAATTGAGATACTTTAAATTAAG